GGAAGGGGAGGAGGGGGACGAGGAAGAGGAGGAGGAGGAGCTGGTGGTGGTGGCAGTGGTACTAGAGGAGGAAGGGGAGGAGGGGGACGAGGAAGAGGAGGAGGAGGAGCTGGTGGTGGTGGCAGTGGTACTAGAGGAGTAGGGAGAGGAGGTGGGCAAGAGGGAGACGAGGAAGAGGAGGTGCTGGCGGTGGTGGCAGTGGTACTAGAGGAGGAAGGGGAGGAGGGGGACGAGGAAGAGGAGGAGGAGGAGGAGGAGCTGGTGGTGGTGGCAGTGGTACTAGAGGAGGAAGGGGAGGAGGGGGACGAGGAAGAGGAGGAGGAGGAGGAGGAGCTGGTGGTGGTGGCAGTGGTACTAGAGGAGGAGGGAGAGGAGGTGGGCAAGGAAGAAGAGGAGGAGAAAGAGGAGGGGGAGGCGGCAGAGTTTCGTGGCGGCGGCGGTGGTGGTGACGATGTAATGTTAACAAGTAGAGCACGTGTAAGCTTGAAGGGCAGTGCGTGCATTCTACGACTCATACGACCTCTCGACGTTTCATTCCAGACAAGATGGTGATGTTGTGGGACTCGGCCACCGGAGGGCGCATCAAGAAGTTGAAAGGGCACACGTCGATCGTGAATAGCTGTTCACCGGCGCGGCGCGGCCCTCCGCTCGTGTGCAGTGGCAGCGATGATGGCACGATCAGACTGTGGGACTCGCGCAAGAAGGGAACCATGCAAACATTCCAGAACACATACCAGGTATGGCAGGGCGACGCAGTGGCCCGTAAGTAGAACACAGCGATTAGTATCTCATGTTAAAAGGTTAATGGCGAGGTGCAGTGCATTAGTGTTATTCCACCTGGGGGCTTAGAGTTAGTTCCTGAGTTAGCCTCCGAGCTTGCTGTATCATTAGCACTTGTCCAACCTCATTGGTGATTAAACCACACGCAGTATAGCACACAGTCTTTCTGTACGACTGGAGAAAAATGTCCACCTTGTTCCTACGACACTCACAGTCGCACACACCGCCTTTCACTCCGCACTGGGAGACGCCATACCCGTTTCCGCCCACGAAGCACCCGGATCCGCAGCTCGACACGCTTTCACCGCGCATGCGCCACATATACACCGGATGTTCCGTTGCATTACCATTAACATCAACATCAACATTAACAATTACAAACTCTACTGTCTACTTAAAAAACAACAATCACTCTACGTTTCTACGTTCTAAGTCAATCGCTCACACTGTTTATCTTTCTTAGTCTATTTCTCTCTCACCGTCTTTCTCTGTCTCTCTCTCTCTCTCTCTCTCTCTGTCTCTCTCTCCCTCTCTCTCTTTCTCTCTTTCTCCTGCTCTGTCTTTCCTCCCACTCTCTCTCTTTCCCCCTCTCTCTCTCACTCTCTTTCCCCCCCTCTCTCTCCCCTCCCCCCTCGCTCTCTCTCTCTCTCTCTCTATCCGCTGCTCACTCTCGCGTGTCGTCGGCAGGTCACCGCGGTGACGTTCAACGACACGGCCGAGCAGATCATCAGCGGCGGCATCGACAACGACATCAAGGTGTGGGACCTGCGCAAGAACGCCGTCCTCTACGAGATGCGCGGTCACAGCGACACGCTCACCGGGCTCCGGCTCAGCCCCGACGGCTCCTACCTGCTGTCGAACGCGATGGACAGCTCGGTGCGCATCTGGGACGTGCGGCCGTTCGCGGCGCGCGAGCGCTGCGTCAAGATCTTCCACGGCCACCAGCACGGCTTCGAGAAGAACCTGCTGAAGTGCGCGTGGGCGCCGGATGGCAGCAAGGTGGCGGCGGGCTCGGCCGACAGGCACGTCTACGTGTGGGACACAACGTCGCGGCGCGTGCTCTACAAGCTGCCGGGACACAGCGGCTCGGTGAACGAGGTCGACTTCCACCCGCTCGAGCCGATCATCGTCTCGTGCGCCAGCGACAAGAAGATCTATCTCGGCGAGATCGAGGGTTGACCGCCAGGGAGCGCTGACGCGAGGAGACGGCCGAAAGACTGGGGGCGAGTGGTCGCGCTTGTAGATGGCGCTGATGTGGAGGTGGCCGAAAGATTTGGCGAGTGGACTGGAGGGAGGGAGCGCTAATTTAGAGACGGTCGAAACATTTGCCCAACGATCAAGGGTGGACTGTAGAGGTGGCCGCGTGGGCATGGATTTCGCGTTGGAGGGAGAAACAAGTTCTACACAATGCCGCAGCCTGTCTGCCGCCGCTTAGGGCTTGAGGATGAGAGAGAAGCGATGGTTGGTGGGAATAAGTGGGAATGCATGCCTAGCCGTGTTACCCCATAGATCACACAGCTGGTAGCAGCCATCACTCTTGTACGATAGGTGCCACTGCAAAGCGCAATCCCACCATAGCTCTGAGATGAGATGAGGATAGGCCGTGAAGAAAAAGGAAACGACAAGCCTCTGATGACCATCACTAACGTGAGACTCCAGGCCAGCACATCTGCTGTGTGAAGCCGAGTGTACTCAAGGCAGTATTCGGCCATTGGCTGTGTGCATCTGTGCGTGTGTGCAATTCAATTTCCTCGATGGTCTTGCAGTCATGTCACATCACGGATGGAGAACTTGCACAGGAGGATCACGAGTCGAGTGACTCCCTCACTCAGATCTTATTATCATGTTGCTATTTGCGCACGTGGTAAAGTTATCTCACTACAAGTGCATAACAGATTTCGAACATCTTTTTATAATAAAAACTTGTATTTACAAGACATGAAAACTTACATGTTATTACCCCTGTCATTTTTTTTAAGGAAATGTGATTTTTGGGGTTTAAATATAATATAGATGTCACAATATTTAACGTACAGCTTGGTACAAAGGCTAGTTAGAATTACAGCAATAATGAACACACAATACGTCGCAGCGCTTTACGGATTCACGGACGATTCCAAAACCTGTGAGTAACTACTGCGATCAAGTATTGCATAGATTCAAGAGCTAATAATACCTATTATTAGCTCTTTATTAGGTATTATTAGCTCCTGATAGATGGCACCACTGAACATACACATGAACAATAATGCATCACCAAAAAACTGTTGATCTTCCTCACATACAAGTTATGCTTTACCTGCTGCATAAAAACAATGCAGTTTCATCGATCCACACTGGCACGGTTAAATATTATGAATTTCATTTTATTGAGACTGCTTTACAGTGCATTTCACCTGATTAGAGACGGGTAGTTCAATACAAAGCACGTGGGAACATAATAGGGGTAGGCATCCATGTGTGGCATGTCTGACTAAGATGTTGCAGAATGGTGGGTGGTGGTGTAGTGTGGGGTGGGGTTGGTGATGTAGGGTGGGTGGGGTTGGTGAGTAGGTGGGGTTGGGTGTGAGGTGGGCGCTGGGAGTTGTGATGTTAGGTGCGGGTGCGGTGGCGGTTGAGTGATGGTGGGTGGTGGGGTTGTGATGGTAGGGGTGGGTGGGGTTGGTGATGTGGGTGGGGTGGGTGGGGTTGGTGATGTAGGGTGGGGTGGGAGAGATTGAGTTTAGCTGTCTGACTTCCTCATGGGGATCTCAGAGTTTCTTTTTCTTCCACGGAGGCTGTACAGTTTCATCCGGCTCCTTCTTCTCCTCCCCTTCTTTTTGGAAGACAGGCTCAGGCTGTGTTCTGTGGATGACAAGTGTAACAGTGATATAGCAGTGACTCTGCACCAATGTACCACAGCTCACATATCTACACAGCTGTATTGCAAAGTTCTCTCTCGCTCTGGTGTGTATGGGAACGACCTGTGTAGAAATAACAAGCCCGTCTTCCAATTCGGAACTGGAAACTTTTCAGCAAGACTGGCAAATTTTTGTTGGTTTTACTATAGAATATATATTAAAAATCAAAACTTTCAAAATAGGGACCGTTTGGGTTTCCACTCATTTCCAAGACTGGAATGACTATAACCTATTTAGTCACGGTGCTCTACATAAATAAATTGCTGATGATGTTGCTGATTATATTAAGTTAATGATCTATATACGAGACGACCTACTCAAATGATTTATCTATTAAAATGTATATACATAACCCTACATGGAGCTGAAACGTACAACTGGTGCCATGCAGTGTACAGACGAACAACAAATCTGCGACTGAAATCGGTATTTTGCACACTAGAGGGAGACACCGACGTGCAGACATCGCAAGGCTGGTAGTGTTAATTAACGTGAGTACGTACTGCAGGTACGCGCGCGTCCACTGAGGATTCTCTGCCGCGTCCTCAGCGTGTCTCAGGATGGCCTGCCTCGGGTCGAGGCTCTTGTTCTCGATGGGTCGCGCTAGCGCGTACTTCTTGGATATGTACGACGCCATCGTGCCTCCGCTCGCGCTCAGCCGCCCGCCAGCACCTACACAGCAACAACACGAACGCATTCATGAGCTGCACACTCTACCTCTACCACGAGTACCCACGTTCACGTGATCGGTCGACATTTAATCTACTTGTCAGCGTAAAAATTTGTATTGCGTATGACATGCATTGCTTATATATCAATCAAAGTATATGCAGAACTCAAAAACCTGTACTTTGTACACTTTATACTATAGCCTCTATACAGAATTATTGATAAAAACCTTATACAGGTCTATTTATTCTATACACACCTATGAATTCATTTATTCACATGCCTCATACACATCTATAAAACCATCATAATTATTTCATTTCACCCTCACCCATCCAAAACAACATATCATACCAGAGATCTAACGGGAGCGCAGGCCCGCACGACACCACCGTAACCGCAGTAATTCTTACGTAGAATACGACACGAAGTGTGAGCAGGTTGCGTGAGACAACGCAGCCAATCACTGAAGCGATTTTCATTTTGCCTGACGTCACGTGTGACATTCGTTTTCGTCTCACTTTCTAATTACGAGTACTGCAATGTACTGTATACGCCATATTTTTCGCATACAGATATTTTCGCGAATTCAGACTTGACGGTTAATTTCGTGAGTGGTTAATTTCGCCGTCGGTGAATTATGAATTATTCGGTATGAATTATTTACGCGTTGCTATTTTCCCAGTCGGCGACGTGTTCGCGAAAATTAAACCACTGCGAAATACACAGCGTATACAATAGCTTAAACATGTGAACATACCAGGTCCGTGGAACGGCAGGTCGGGTCGATGTGACTTCACCGGATCGGCGCGCGCCTTCTCGTTGATCTTCTTTGTCGACCTTGGGCGCTCCTCGCGGAACATTGGCAGCGCGTGCGGCGTGATGATCGGATCATCAGCAACAAACTCTATCTGCTTCACCTGTCGACGGAGACGCGACGTTACGAGAGGGTCGGCATGACGACGACGTCGACGACATCGGCAACGCGACAATGTTGACGAACCAGCAGACGCGTCGCATGCGACGTAGCGCTATACGCGTCGAAGCCGTACAAACACATACACAAGCATCCGAGAGCATTCTGCACACATTTTCCACTCTTCTGCCTACGAGGTGACCTCGCATGCGAAACTATCACAATCAGCAACGACAAAACCAAACCAAGAAAGAATGAATCCAAGTCGAGGCTCGCGCAATCACAGCTGCCTCCGATTGCTACCTTGTGCATTGTCTTGACGACACACAGCTTGGCACCACGGTGACTAATCTCAGGGTCATAGTAGACCTTTGCCTGTCCATTGCTCGTTCCCACCATGATCTGGTTTAGTTTAGGATGCCAGATACATTTGACGACACTCTGAAAATGCAAATCATTCACAGACATTTATGATATATTGTATATTATACTCAACGTGCGCTGACTTCACATTAAAACATCCACATAAGTTACCATTATACATAACTAGCATATAAACTTACACCAATATACATTCCAACACAAGGGGTGTGCATCACACATACAAAAGTATATATATATATATATATATATATATATATATATATATATATATATATATATATATCAGGGTTTTTAGTCAGCAAATTCGTTTAAAAAACATTTCCTATTCAATCTTAATATATTAATCATACAACATAACATAATGTTGACACGGACCGACAGCCACATGAGTGATGTCAGTACGTACAGCCGCTGCGAGTCACTCACCGCTCCCTCGCACACAGGTATCGAGTAGGATTTGTCGAACGTGTCACGATCAAAGAACAGCAGCTCTCCCATGCCCTGGCCCCGCCTCACCGACACGCCCGTAACGACCATGCGGTCATCCGGGCTGAACAGACAGTCCGTCCTGAAAACACAAGTGCCTACGTGAGTGGGACCTACCCTCCCACGCCCTCGCTCCCTTCTTGATGTATTGATGACAGTCCAATATTCACTGTCCACTCTCACACAGTACAGTAGTTAAGTGTTGCCCGATGCTACGTAATGGGCTGAATCAGTGTTCTACGGCGTAGCTGCTACGCCACAAATAAAAACGCTGGCAAAACACGATTTTTCTCCTGCAAACCAGGAGTTACGAGCGTGTGCGCGTGAGCGTGTGCGTGTGAGCGTGTGTTACGAGACAGCGCACCATCTAGGGGGGTGGCTACGTACCACCATACACATGCCACCTAGGGATGGAGGCTCTACACGCGCCACCTAGTGGGGGCGGAGGCTCTACACGCGCCACCTAGTGAGGGAGGAGGCTCTACACGCGCCACCTAGTGGGGGCGGAGGCTCTACACGCGCCACCTAGTGGGGGCGGAGGCTCCACACGCGCCACCTAGTGAGGGAGGAGGCTCTACACGCGCGCCCTCGACGCGACTCACATCGCAAACAGGTTCTCGAGGTCGTGTTTCTGCTGCAGTGGCGCCCTCATGCTGCGCACGTCCCACAGCTTGAGCGAGTCGTCGGCGAGGCCCCCGCGCGAGGCCAGCAGCGCGCCGCTGTAGGAGAAGCAGAGGCACGACGTGTCCGTGCCCGGCTGGTGCGCCGTCCGACACACTGCCACCGTGTTCACCTGTGCAGGTTAACGAGAAACTGATTACTCTACGAGGCGCGCCACTTGTTGACACGCGCCGGCGAGCTCGGCGGTCGCTCGAGAATCCACCCTTCTCTCCATCTCACCCATCTATCCAACAGGTACGACCACAGCCTCCATTGATACTATGGCTAGGTTACTTAAACTAGACCCGCTTATACTAGCTTGTGATTATGCATTCGATTACAAGTGAGAAGAGGATGAATAGAGTTAGGGTGATCGACGGTGAGAATTGGACTCTCACCTTAATTTCCCCCACCCCTTACCTTACTCTGCTTAGCACTCAGCAAATAGAGATAGAGCGTGGAGAGTTAACTCGCAGTGCTACCAGTGGACTAACCCCCTGCTGTAGTATTTACTGTGAAAGCAGCTGCGTGGCCTAGGGTTAAGGAAACATAGATAGGCACTGCCCTATGCGCCACATAGGCACGGGAACAGATTTAACTTTAACTACCTTACTCACTACTACTTTAAGCTACTTCACTGCGTGCCACCACACCCCGGTTTCGACAGATGAATGTCCCGCTCACTGCCACTTACAAACTGCTTGCGGTGATCCCACATCTGTATGGATCCGTCCTGGCATGCAGCCGCCACCAGCTTGCCATCGTTGCTATACGCACACGCCGTCGGCACCGTCGGGCGACCTTGCTTTGACCGCGGCTTGATCACTGCCTTGTGCTTCTTACTGTCCTCCACGCTCCACAGCCTGACAGTACTGAAAGCACACGGACATGTCAACGTCGTCACGCAACGTGTCCGGCTTCCTGTCTCCTCATAAACTCCCCGTGCTTGACGACGACATCATGGTTTGTAAAACGTGCCAGTATTCCAAGTCTCTACGATATCGACAGTCACATTTGGCAACTATTATATGACTTATAGCATATATAAATTACTATGACTATAAATTATAGCATTTATAGCATGTGTTATGTTATTAAGTCTATAATTTTGGAAGATGTGTGGTTAAGCCTACAAGCATAATGAAGCTCATCCCAAACACTCATATCATACTGTTATACTTATCGTACTTGTCTATAGAGCAAGTCATAAACTCGGTCTTGTCGCGTGGATGCCAGCAACCCATATTCAGCATTGCAGCGTGACCCTGAAACAAGAGTAGATGTATAATTAGTCGCGTCTGCACTAGCCTGCAGCTACACGAGGTAATGCAAACCTATATATCCTCTCTTCATAAACTTATCGGTCGGTACTCTCGTACTCTCTACTTCTATGTGTGATAATGCGATCGATAATATCTAGGACATCCACACCTGATTGTTCACACATGTTTCATATACGAAGAAAATACTCATGCAGCTACACTCACATCGAAGCAATTATTCTTATAAACTAACTAAATCGACGACTGGAGCTAGGACCAGGAGGTAGGAAATGACACATTTTTCTTGTCACCTTCGTCGTGGCCATGTCAGTGATGTACTGGTCCCCCTTGGGGCACTCCATCACATCAAAGCCATCACGATCAATAACCTTGGCCTGCGCATTGCCAGACGCCACCAGTATGCTGTCTCCGGTTATACTGTACTGCAGACTTTTGATCTGATGGCTGAAAGACGGCAGATTTCGCAACGGGTCAGACTTGGCCGCGGTTGCTAAACCCGCGAATATGCTCCGATTGTCAAGTAGACTTTTAGTAAAAACAATCACATTTCGACACGCACATTGGACTGTAAACACTACTCACAATAGACGTAACCTGACTCTAAGATCCAGATATTAGTACACAAACGTAGCAAATCAGGAGTAAACAAGACGAAAACTGGAGGGATGGCTAACTAAGGTCGGACGGTGGAAAGGTTCATTAGCGTGTCATCCTTTCGCATCAGCATTGACACCAATCACTGACGGACTCTCGGTGGCAATGGCTGGATCGCAACGGGGTCAGCTTCTACCGGCGATATCAGAGTACTCACCACTCGCACGGCCGCAGGGTGCGAAACGATCGCAGGTTGGCATCCATGCCTGCGAAATCCCACAAGCGGACGTCGTAATCAAATCCGCCCGTGGCCACGCGCGCCCCGGCTGGATCCCACGTCATCGCCGACACCTAGGAGAAATCTCAGTGCGTAACAGACAACACATGAGATACAACTCAAACAAGAGTTGCTGTATATCGTGAACTGTGTATATGTATATATCGTGCTGTATATCTTCAATACGTTAGAACGATCTCGGCAAGTTTTTTAATTTTGCAAGCGTGCAGTACATAATGGATCCAAATGAGGGGATGAGACCGTATTGGGGATAGTCAAGAAATATGTGCTTACAGTTTTGTCGCCATGGAGGAGGACTATCTCGTGGCTGTCCGGAACTTTCCTACCATACTTCTGCAATGGAAGATATTATCGATGTACGATGCACAAATGTTCTTCAACATGTGTCTTGCATCACACAAAGTTGCAACGAGCTTAAATATAAATGACATTCTATAAGGGAAAATGATAACGATTATTATTCAGTACAGTGCTTTGCCGATGGGCTGTCATTTCTTGGTCAGGATGCATAGCTAAGCTTGGCAGGTCTGGCCACCCACCATTTCATGGTCATCTTCCTCTTCATCTGAATCCTCCGTCGGATTAGGGAGAGGAGGGCCTATCAATTCATCTCCATCAGATCCATTCTCATCATCTGGCTCCTTCTACAGGGAAAAACAAGCAAATTCATTATTAAAAGAAATAACGTCAGTAGCTTTGCGCCATTATCAGTCTTATGCCCGAAACAATTAAAGAGGCCAAACTTCTGCATAGTTAGCTGCATTAAAAAAACTGACAACCATGTTGGCTCCAGTAAATGTAAAGGAACCACACGGTTAGATAGCGCATGTAGCAAACTTACAAAGATATTTGATTGTGTACTATCTATGAATAAAATGACCACGCATTTCATGACGCTTGAGGTGTAATTCACCAGATCCCTAGAGGAGGCGTGAGTCTTCTGTACCTGTGAATTTGCGGCGGCCGGTGGTAACGGTGGACCAATCAACTCCTCGTCATCATCATCATCATCGTCGGAATCACGACGCTTGTCGATGCTAGCCTGAGACTTGCTGGAGTGAGGAGCTGCCGTCCTTGATTGACGCTGAACACTCCCAGCAGCCTTGTCCACTTCTCTCTCAGCTGACAAACGTAATGCATGAAAGCTATAAATAACCGTGTATCTGACCCGTGAGTCTTATATAACCGCAGGCTGATATCATCTTAAAAAATAAGAAATGATTTTTCAGGAATTTATTGAAAATATCGTCATCATTAGAGCACATACGAGGAGTTAGCAAATATGTTGGTATGTAGCTAAAGATCAGTGAATGTGGTGGTGTACCATATCACCTGGTCATATTAAAAATAGCACTGACCTAATGTTTTCTGAGATCGCTCCATTGCAGTTCGCCTTGTCTGTTCGAAGATGGCATCTAGATCAAACGTTCGGGCCTTCTTTCCTGCATATGTAACACATCATTAGTAATATGTAACGCCTTGCAAAACTACCTTGTTAAGTCCTTGTGAACATTAAACAAGAAACAGTCACAAAAATGAGAAGAATATCACAACGCAAGTAAACAGATTCGTGTATAGTATACCAAATCCACCGAAACCCATGATCTCCGCCATGTCCTTTGAAGGGTCAGCCATTTTCCTCAGTAAGATGACGTTAATGAGAATCTCCTGTGTTACATTAACCGACTCGGACTACAGCGGCTGTACTCAGCCTGTAGAGTGTAGTCCGTAGCGCACGAATGACCGACTCATTAACACATGCAGTGTTTCTGTGTAACTGCGTGTTAACAGTTAAGCGACCTAAGTGACAAGCTATTTAAAACTCAAGTGATATTGTAGTTGATGTTATTGCTTTTGTTCCGACTAATTACTGAACGTCATAAAAGCCACTAAATAACCGAAATACATTCAATGCTATGAAAAATAACAACAAACAAGCTAGCACGGCCGCGATTTTACTCCGTTGTGTTTCTCAGAGCAGCGCCACCCCTCGGACACTTTAAGAATATATCCGTTGCATATACTTTATTTATACTCAGTTTCAGTAGTGTCCACATTTCCTCACTAGTCATGGGTACGAGGGTTAACCCTTGTAGTGAATTACCCTAGAACGGTGCACATGAAAACTTATGAATTTTTATTGCCAGCCAAGCTGATTGATTGTTGTTCCAAAACCTGACGTCAAAAAAACATAAAGCTTTGTCGCAAGCTGTTCCCGGCACACTCCTTATTTGGCAGAAGATATAATATGGTTTCTCAGCATTTACTCTTGTGAGTAACACCATAGATCACCAATAACCTTATTGCTTGTCCATGGTAACACGTAGTTGCATTTTTTAGATCCACGGTATGAGAACTAGAAGGATGAAAGGGGGTTGCATCACATGCATAGGTGACGTCACTAAAGGGCGAACATTTATCGTATTTTTTGCCTCGCGTAAATTTACCAAGAGTGTTTGAGCGGCTGAATAGAAATAAATCTGTTAGGGGCGGCGTTTATAAATCGTTATCTATATTATCCTTTGTTGGAAACTGGATTTCTACAGCATAATTTATTAATGTAGGTCTACATGTCCACACACCCATCCATTCGTATTAGCATCTTATGCAGGGTCACTTCTGTACACAAGCATGCGCAACTGCATTATCTTCACATTTGCCGCCATTATGAATAAGCATGTGCTTGTTTTCCTTCATTATGATATAAATCCTCTATCTAGCTAAACGTTAGGACGAGGAAAGGCGATAAGAATAATATAGGAATACCCGCATCTTATGATATACATGCCCCCATGTTGGTATAACGTTTGGGTTTCCTAAACTTATATACTGTACATTTTAACCTCAAATGTAGCTGAACATGCCATTACAATGGTTTAACGAATAATTTTCGAGTAGAAAAACGTATCTGCTAAAATCTCATTTGATTATGGATTGAAGTGAATCTCCTTGAGCAGGCTCCATGGCGTTTTAGCAGCGTCATTGGCCGAGGTCCATAAACATTGATCATCGGAATCAAAGTAGGCCTGTACGAAAATGCAGCAGAGTCATTCTCACAAAAATATAGACCGATACCTACGTGTCCGAATTGGAAAAATGTAATACGAGCTCATGTTGAATGCAGAGCGTTTTAATACACGCATTTTTATGATGGGTTGTATTCTGAAGCAACCACAGGTGTGCCCGTGTGTGTCGTCGTCCGCACCGTCAGTCCTTCAATCGCTCGTCCGTGCGTCCGTCCGTGCGTCTCTCTGTCTGTGCATCTGCCTGCCTTATCAGCACCTAAGTATGCAATTTTTCTCGATATTCCAGTCACGGGCTCGAAGCAGGTCATGCTAGCAATTTCTGTATATGGGCTTATACAATTGGTTTCGCTGCGGCTAGCAGATAGACATCTCTTGCCGCGGGGGTGTTTCGCCTTTTACATCTTCGCTCGTCGCGTCCCGGGCCCGGCGCGGCAGCAGTGGCCCGCTGTGATGTAAGAAGAATAGGCGAGCGTTTTTATCGACGGCACTAAGTGCGTCCTGTGTTGTTCGCTAGAGAATAATATACTCACGCGCGCGCCGTCCCGCCAGAGGTCAGGGTTTTGCGTCAACAACAACAGACGCGCATCCCCATCCGCCATTATTTCCGCGCACCGATGCCGAGGAAAATGGCGGCGTCTTTACATGTGCGGTGAGTTTTGATTGGCTGTGTATGCGTGCACTTGATAAAGCCGAGCTGCGATGGACTAATGGCTCTGATAACGACGCATTGGTAGTGCATCGTACGGCGCTACCGTTGTGGCATACACGACATATACCGTCTGCATATCACGCCGCTTATAATCGACTTTCCCACGGCGGCACACCAATTCTTGCGAATCGAAATTTTGCGAAAGAAATTCCGGTTGAGTCGATTTATCTCCAAGTACTAGCCTATTAGTTGTTCTTGATCTTACAGTTGTATATTATGATTTATAATATTCGATACTACTCCGCGAACTACCTACCTACACACAGCAACACAGTCAACACAGGTTGTGAATCAGATGACTTGCGCACAGACAGCACACCACACACAGCACACACAGTAAACATCATCAGACGCCCTTAATACTGCGCACGTGCACCACACACACACAGCACACACACACAACCCGCACACACACATGAGGAAATGTATCATACGATACATTCCCAACATGTGAGATCACACACCAGCACACACACACCAACACAGCACACAAGGTTTGCGTAGGTCTCGGAGACCCAAAATCACCGTTCACGAACGCAAACAAAATACTAAGACTTTTCTGCTCTATGTTATACGCCCCGCTGCGGACACGCGCACTTCGACTCGACGCACACACACACACACAAACCCACACGCGTCGTGTGAGGGCGTTTCGCCGACATTTTCACACGCAAAACTCCGAAATGTTACATCGACCGACGACGCCGACGACGACGACGACGGACGAACAAAAGAATCGCCGTCGTCGCTGCGCTGCCCTGCGGGTCTACACGTCGATCAAACCCGCCTCGACGAAAACTCGAGCCTGGTCGCCTCGGAGCGCGAAAGTCGCTCGTACATCGGCGGACCTGATCGAGCCGGCGCTAGATGGTGCCGTCGGCGAGCTAGTACCGGCGAACGGAGCGCTCCCGCTCGGTGCGTGCTCAACAGACACTTGCTGAAATAATAGACAGCCGAGCAAGGAGAGTGACTGCCCCTTCGTCAGCGGACATTCCCCGTGCTCTTGAGCGCGGACATTATATCCCGAGGCTTGTTCCTCGGCCCCTACGCTTACTTCCGCGCTACCTTGCGCTATTGTCCGTAACCGGACCTACTTACCACTTGCCTGCGCACTCGCTTCCAACTTCGCGTGGACGGTCGTCAGGTCGCGCCGCCGCCGGACTACGACGTCGCCGTATCGCATGGGCGGTGGACAAGCTGGCGCCACGGTCGCGCGGAGTCCGACTGCGACCGTTAACTATTCCAACCTTTGGTGTCCTGGGTGCGGAAAATTTTCATACGATTAAACAATGATTGAAACAATTAGAAGCCACGCTCTGCATCCTTGATTACTTTCTTTCATGCATGGGTTTGTCTGAAGCCGACTGACGACGACGATTGACAGTCGACTATCGACGACGAGAGAGTTGTGATGGTGCGTCATGTTCGTTGACCACGGGTCACATCATCCATTGGAATCCTAAAGCACACTATTGCGCACTGCTGAGCATTGCGCGGACTGCGACGGGTTCACGCGGGACGCGGTGCAGGCCAGTTCTCTCTTAAGCCGCCTCTACCCGGCACCAACAGCGAGGGACTGTGCGAGCAAGGCGGCGGTATCTCGTTGTTAGTGAGTGACGAGAAGATGGCGAGGATAGGAGGGACAAAGGGGAGAAGCAAAGGGGGTAGGTAGGTAGGTAGGTAGGGTACCGGTAGGTAGGTAGTAGGTAGGTAGGTAGGAGGGTAGGTAGGTAGGTAGGTAGTAGGTAGCGTAGGTAGGTGATAGTAGGAGGTTAGGTAGGTAGGTAGATAGATAGATAGATAGATAGGTTAGGTAGGTATAGGTCAGGTATTAGGGTAGGCTAGGTAGGGTGAAGGTGGGTCGTAAGCGATCTAGGAAGGTAGGTTTACGGTAAGGTAGGTAGGTATGACTAGGCTTAGGTAAAAGCTAGGTAGGAGGTAGGGTGAAGTAGTGTAGTGCTACGTGAGGTAGGTATGCCAGGTAGTAAGTAGGGGTAGGTAAGGGTAGGTATGGTACGATCACACTACAAGGTAGGTTCGGCTTAGGTTAGCCTAGATTTCAGGTAGGTAGGCTAAGATTAGGTAGGCTAGGCTAAGGATTGTAGGTAGGTAGGTAGGTAAGGCTAGTAGTTAGGCTAGGAGGTAGCAGGCTGAGCTAGCCAGACTAGGTAGGTAGGGGACGCCGGGCCTGGGCGGGGCCCCGATACACGCGGCTAAACGGGAGGCGGCAGGTGCGGCGGGTGGGTAAGGTAGTAGGTAGCCTAGGTGAGGCATAGGTAGGTAGTAGGTAAGGTTGGGATAGGTAGGGTAGGGTAGGCATAGGTAGGTAGGTAGGTTAGGTAGTAGTAGGTTTAGGGTCTAGGTAATAGGCGATTAGGTAGGTAGGTAGGTCGGTTGAGGCTGGGTGGTGGGTAGGTGGTGGTGTGGGTGGGTGGGTGGGTTGGGTGGGTGGTGGGTGGGTGGGTGGGTAATAGGTAGGTTAAGTAGGTAGGTAGGTAGGTAGGGTAGGTATTAGGTAGGTTAGGTAGGTAGGTAGGTAGGTAGGTTATGCTAGGTAGGTAGGGTAGGTTTAGGTAGAGCATAGGTAGGTAGGTCAGGTAAGGTAGGTAGGTAGGTAGGTAGGTAGGGTAGGTATGGTAGGTAGGTAGGTAGGTAGGTAGGTAGGGTAGGTAGTAGGTAGGTAGGTAGGTTAAGGTTAGGTAGTAGGTAGGTAGGTAGTGTAGTAAGGTAGCTTAGGTAGGTAGGTAAGGGAGGTAGGTAGGTAGTGTAGGTAGGAGGTAGGTAGGTAGTAGATTAGGTAGGTAGGGTAGGTAGGTAGGTGAGGTAGTAGGTAGGTAGGTAGGCATCCACCATAAACCTAGGTATAGGTAGGGTAGGTTAGGTAGGCGTAGGTAGGTTTAGTGTTAGGTAGGTAGGTAGGTAGGTGGGTATAGGTAGCTAGGTGAGTTAGGTAGGTAGATAGGCCAAGTAGGGTGAGAGGTGGGATGAGTTAAGAGAGGAGGTAAGAGAGAGAGGGAGGAGTTGGAAAGAAAAGAAGATTTAACGAATCGAGGTCGAATAGGCCGAGCGAGGGAAGTCGGGGGATATGGAGGGCAAGGAGGGGAGAGGCGTACTAAGGAATGGGAAGAGAGGGTGGCGAACGATCGAACGAGGCTGTGTAGAGGAAAGTGGAGAGGAAGCGAGCGGGTGTAGCGGAAGCATGGAATGCACCGAGCTAAGGGAGGAAA